TTTTTAAAGATGACCGGTAAGGGGATCTCAACCCTTGACTTGGTGTTGTCAGCACCACGCTCAGCCAGTGAGCAAACCGGCCATCCCTATATGGGATCCGAACCCGTGGCCTTGGTGTTATCAGCACCGCACTCTACCGAGTGAGCCACGGGCCTGCCTAATTCATTTTAAATTAACTTTACAACAGTGCCTGACACATATTTAGTGCTTGTTTTTATCATTATTACTCAGCAGCTTATGTCAATAAAAATGGCACAGTACAGTCCTTGGAAGATAAAGAAGTATGAATTTAGAAATTCTGAATTTATAAGAGCCCCAAAAGAGTTTCAGACAATTCAGAGAACAATTCTCAGAGGTGAAAATCAACCTTGGAGGAAAAAAAGGCTATATGTACTCTAGTGTACTTTACTGACCTCTGTAGTTTTCTCCTAGTAACAACAACCAAAACCCTCTAAATCAGTGCATCTACAACAGAAATGGTACCATTCTCCAAAATTCAGTTCTTCATATACTGGGTGAGAGAAGTGTTGTTCAGTCATAAAAGCTTCAATTTATAGCTAGTGTCATTCAGTGAGTTAATTATGACACAGAAGGATTAGATTACCTATCTCCTAGTGATTACTTTCCTGTCAATATCAAAATTCTTTTCTTTACCCCCCCCCCTTTTTTTGGTCCTTTTTGAGACCAGCCGCACCCGCTCAGCCAGTGAGCGCTGTGAGCGCACCGGTCATCCCTATATAGGATCTGAACCCGTGGTGGGAGCGCTGCTGCGTTCCCAGCGCCACACTCTCCCAAGTGCGCCACGGGCTCGGCCCCTTTACCCTCTTTTTTAAAGGATAAGAAAGTGGTAGGCCAACTGGATTCTGAGACCTCTCAGAATTCAGATGAGTTGAAACTAGCATGACAAAAGGAGAACTCCCAGTTAAACACAGAGTTACCCTCTCTATGCCTCAGCAATCCCACTCTTAGGTATATATCCAAGAGAAATGAAAACATTTTTTCACAGAAAAACCTGTGCACAAATGTTCATAGCAGCATTATTTACGATAGCCAAAAAGTGGAAACAACCCAAATGTCCATCACCTGATGAATAGATAAATAAAATGTGGTAGGCCCATACAATGGAATATTATTCGGCAACAAAAATGAAGTACTGATACATGCTACAACATGGATGAACACTGAAAACATTATGTTAAATGAAAGAAGACAAACACATAAGGCCACATATTGCATGATTACATTTACATGAACTGTCAGAATAGACAAATCCACAGAGACAGATTAGTGGTTGCCAAGGGGCTGAGAGGAAGGGGGGGAGGAATAAAGTGACTGCTAATGGATATGGGTTTCTTTCCAAGGTTATCAAAATATTCTGAGATTAGATAGTGGTAATGTCTGCACAACGTTGTGAATACATAAAAACCACTGAATTGTACACACATAAAATTGGATTTTATGGTATGTGAATTATATCTCAATTTTAAAAAACTTCCACAAGGAGTAAAGCAATACAGAATAAATCATTCTTGGCTTTTTCCTAATAAATTCAGAATTAGATGGGCTACTAGTGAAAAATTTTAGGACCATTTGAAGGAGAGAGAGATTTCCTGGGATAAAAGTGAGAGAAATGAATGCACAAGAAGCAATACAAATAACCAATTACGCAGCCAAGAAAGGGAGGAGTAAATGAAGGCTGACTGGGGAAAAAAAAGCACCCAAAATGATTGGTTTCTATCTTTGAAGCCCTTAAAACTACAAAAATATTTATTCATTCAACAAATTTACATGTATTTAGCATTTACTACCTATCACGCACTGTGCTAAACACTTCATAGGTATAATGTCTCATGTTTAATGCTAACATCAACCCTACGGAGGCAGTTACTATCTTCATTTTATCAATGAGAAAATAAAGGTTTAGGGTGGTGAAGGTTATACAGCTAGGATGAGGCTTCAAAGCCAGGATTGTGCTCTAATGCTATAGAAGTCTAATCAGTATTCTTTCTATGTATGACAAAAAACAAAAAGAGAAATAAAAGAAGTTACTAAGCACCACAAATTGGAGTTTGTGCCTCAGAGAGCCAGAGCCGCAAGCTCAAAAGAGGAGCAGGGACAGCTTATACAATTTCTTCACTTTGCCCTCGGTCATCACCCAGGCTCTGTTTCCCAAGTTACTACCCCCAAATTAGATTTTGACTGTGGTAAGTATTTCTCTCCTTGAAGAATTACAATCTTAGTGTAGAAAGTCACACTTGGCAGCGCTTGAGAGAACTACATCAAGACAGGAGAAGAGAGGATTTGAAGGGATACACAGACAGCTGACATAGACACATTAATAATCTCACACCATCACACTATTTTCATGGCCTTGATCGTTCATTAAACCATACTTTGTGAAACAGAAGCCAAATTCTTGACAAGAAGTTGCCTTTACAAAGAACAAGTCCTGAGACATACAAAACCACCAGACTATGTAAAGCAGACAAGGCCTAACAGCCAGTAATGAGGCCTGGTTATCTTTTTCCGGGGTTGGGGGGATAGACTGGGAGGACGGCTGGCGGGTATGGGGATCTGAACCCTTGACCTCGGTGTTATAACACCGTGCTCTAACCAGTTGAGCTAACCGGCCAGCCCCCCGGTTATATTAATCATCTTGTACCACCACTCTTCCCTACCTAGCACACAGTATTCAATTCATCAACCAAAACTTACTGAGCATCTACTATATGCCTGGCTCTGTGCCATGTGCTGCAAATATACTGGAGTAAAAGACAAACATCGTTCTGATCCTCCAGGTTTACTAGGGTGAAGTGCTGAGTGCGCTCTGCTGAACAAATACACTTGCACACGCTAAACTATCAGTTCATGCAAAGCACTAGCTCCTCCTTGCTAGAGGACAGTTCCTCAGGTTCGGCACTACCGACATTTTGGGTGGGATAATTATTTGTTGTAGGTAGGTGTCCTGTACACCGCAGGATGCTTATTAACATCATCCCCGGCTTCTTCGCACTAGATGCCAGTAGCATTCCTCGAACTGTGACCATCAAACACGTCTCCGGACACCGTCAAATGTCCCCTGCGAAGGAAAACCGCCCCGGCTGGGCAGCACTGGTCTCGGGCCTTCCCAAGTGCTCTGTCCCCCAACCTCGATTCTCTATACATCCTTCAAATCTCAGCTCAAATGCACTTCCTCGGGGAGAGCTCCCGGATCCTTCCGACTAGATCCGCCCCTTCTGTTTTGTGCTCTTTGTAAGATTTCTGCACCCTACACTTCCCGAGGGCTGAGGACCGGCTTAACTGTGTGGTCCACGACGGCAGGGAACGTGCTGCCCGCTGTTTCCCTGGCCACTGGCACAGGGCCTGGCACACAGGTAAAGCAACTGCTCTGGAGTGAATGACAGAGGAGAAAGCAAAGCGATGAGAGGAGACGCCTGGGACAAGAGGCGGCGTGGAGGGCTTTAGGAAGCAGCGGCGGTGAAAGACGCGGGGGGTGGGGGCGGGAAAGGGGTCAGTTGTTCTGCGCACGCGCTTCGCTCTCCCCGGCCCCCAACGGAGGTAGGTCTCGAGCGTCTGAGGTTTCTACCCGATAGGGTCCGTCACTCCGCCGGGGACCCCCGAGGGAGGAAAACTTACGAGGGCCTGAAAGTGGGCGGTGAAATCCCTCACTCAGGGACACGGACTGCGGCCACCACGTCTACCGCGGGCGATGATTCGGCCCCTCAGCTCGCCCAACGGCCGTTACACGCCCGCCAGGCCGCGCACCTCGGAGCGCGCCGCCTCAGCCTCGCCCCTTTCTGCCCAACTCTGCCCAATCGGGAGTCGAGCCTCTCCGGTCTCCCGCCCCTTTCTGCTCTCCTCTAACCAATCGGGACGGGAGTCCTTCCAATCTCCTGTCGCTTACTGCCCACCTCTGGCCAATCGGGAGTCAGGCCGCGTTGGCCTCCCGCCCCTGCGCGCTGTTCGCAGGGATCTCTCTGCGTCAGATCCCCTGGCCCTCGGGCTTTTCTCTTCTGCCCCTTGTCCTGTCTCGCCGCCAGGAGGAGCCATGTTTTCCGCGGCTTGGAGGGGCCTGTTGGGCCTGTGCAGATGGGGAAGCTGGTGGCTAGGGGCACATGGGAATCCCATCCAACCTGTCACCCTCCTACCATTGCACCACCCACCTATCAGTCCGCCGGAAGCAGGGGGTCGGGTTGTGATCAAGAGTTAGCGTGTGGCCCGGGTCACTAACTAGTCAGGGTTAGGACTTGGTCTGGGTTAGAGTCAGTGGTCAGTCTGTACTCAGGACTCAGGTTGAAGGGTAAGGGATCAATCTTGCCTGCCTACCCAAACTTGGTCCCCAGGAACAGGAACTAAGTCCATTTGCATTAATAGTCGTGCATACTTGTGCTTGAAGAATCAGACTGGAAAATTGTTTCAAAGGAGGAATAAAACCATCAGCCAAAGGAATGAATCTTTGATAGTGAAATTTCAGGTTTCTAGAAACCTTACTTGGGAGGGAGAAGTATTAAAAAGTTGTGTGATTTCTTAACTTTGAAGAACCAGACATAAAGAGAGTTCATTATTGGATCAAATTCACTCTAGAGGAAGAACCCTCGGGATGTGTCCCAAAGTTCTAGCTCCTGCCTCTCTTTTTAACATTTTAAGGTAAGAATATAGCAGGTATAAAACAGCAAATTTAATGGATAATGAACCTGGATATGATATGATAGATTAATTTAGGGGGTATTCTCCGAATTTAGGACCACAAACCATTGTTTTTTTTGTTTTTGTTTTTGTTTTTTTTTTTGTCTTTTTTCCGTGTCCGGCAACGGATCGCAACCCTCAGTGTCGCAACCCTCAGTGTTGCCCCCGTACCGGACCGGGGACCGGCAACGGGATCGCAACCCT